TAAATAACTTATATTATAATTTCTTTTGTTCTAAGATAATATAATTTATAGTACAATTAACACGTAAAGGTTGTGTGTATTTATTTATTCAATCTAAATATGGGATAATTATGCAGTAGCACACGAATAACATAAATGAAAAAAATTGTTGTAATAATAGAGATATAGTATCTTTCTGTTAAGTCTAGTTTCACATAGTGGTCGTCATTAACATACCCAATTGCTTTACCAGTGTGCTATAGTAAACCTAAGCTGTAAATATGTTGAACAACATGTAATGTCTATGATGTGTAACAGTACATTTAACTTTGAAGCAATCAGAACAAGATTTTCAAACATTATCATCTTGTGTTCAATAGAGGCACCTTGATCAGATTGAAAAAAGTTTAAAATATTGTGAACTATATTCCACTACTGGCTTTCAAATATGTTGAGATATTCTGTCTTGTATACGTCTAACTCTTCCATCAAGTTAAACCGAATAGTTGACCATGCATCTCATGAAGATTAGGGTGGACAACAATTGCTCAAAATCCACAATCTTCATCACCTCTCATATCATGTACCTGTCTGATCTAAGGGTGAAACATTTGAAATTGATTAATATATGGATGTGCATTATAATAACCGTTGAAGAAAGAATTGTGTCTCGCTGGTTCCTGATAGCTCATTTCGTTGAAGTCAACAAATGCTGACGCGTTCGAACAACTACGTCTAAAGGGTTTTCAACTGTGAAAGACAGATCAACATGAGTTGTACAAGAAGTGTAAAAGAAGATAGTGATATTTTATGAAGAAGAAGTGAATAGATAAAGAGACTTCCAACATCACCCATTTCAAAAATGGATGTTAATATTATATAAAAAAAAAATTAATCATGAATTCCTATAAGTTTAGTGACAAGTTGTCATGTACTTGTGTAACAAGTTTCCATATGAGAAGTTCTTTTAAAGTGATACGTAAAGAAAATTAGATCGTGGTATAAAATTTAATTTTCATGTTTTTGTTACAAGTGTTTATTATATGTATTGATAGGTGAGTTTTTAAATATAAGTTCTTACAAGAGCCTTAAGTATTTATACATCTTGTACATATGTTGAAATAATATATATAGGCGTATGATATATATATATATATATATATATATATATAACAACCTTCCAAACTGAAAATCCCTAGAATGTTCCTTGAATTGAAATCAGATATGAACATATGAACAGGTGATTTGATCAAATCGTACTATGGGTTTTTGTACCCCTTTATGTGACATGTCCTCAACGTCATCTTCCTTTTTCAACTTAACAAAACTTGTAATTGAATTTGGGAGAAACAAATGAAGAATTGAGATAAATATTGATTAAAATCGATCGTCATCCCGATTTAGTTGACTATATTAAAAGATATGGATGAATATGATGTGTTGATGCATTGCTAATTTGTATTATTGAATTTTAAGTAATTATGCATTGAAAAACAATAACTTATGCATCATAATATGTTTTTACAACGTTTGTCTAAATACTTTATAAGACACCATAGATAAGTAAATGCCCTCTTTATATAAACCATTATTATCTATGATTTGTTACCGACTCTGTAAAGGAAGGTGATTACCTGACTGGATAAACTTAACAGTCGTGTCGGAAAGCACCTTTTGAATACAATAATTCAACTATTTTAGCCTTGGGTTTACGAATTGGTATTGGGATGATTCTTATTTTTTTTATCTGTTTTGCAAAGGTTGTGAAAAATGAGATATATACCTAGATTCTCGTTTTACATATTTAAATGAGAGATCGACGGTTATTGACGGATGAACAATTACAACTGTTAATGGATAAGACCAAACAACAGTTACCACCGAATTTAAGTCATGGAACATGCGTCTTTAATGATAGCTGAATGCCGTTCAGCGACAACTAAAGGCTCTTCAGTTACAACTGAAGCCAATCAATGATAGATCGAACATTATCAAGTGATACCTAATGCTGATTTCTGATTTAGTAAAACTCCTAAGGGGCTCAGCCCCTTGGAACCTTGCCAAGGGCGCTACCCTAAAACCCCGCAAGAGTGGCGTGACCCCCTTGATTCTTACTTTAATGGCGATATAAGATGATAAGGGCAACATTTGTAAGTGTGCACTTTGCACCACCTGACTTACGTATGTTTGTCTTATCGTCTTAATCAATCCCAAGTAAAAAGTTACACCAAAATATCTGATGACACTAAAATAACTAACATGATTTAATCGTTTGTTGCTTTTAATACTTCTTTTTCTGGTCACAAGGATGGAAAAAAAAAACATCACTATCATTTAGATATAGGCAATATTTGATTACGCCCTTACCCCATATCATGCTTCCATGTTTTTTTTTCTTTTTAAGAAAACCATAAATCTACGTTGAGAGTACGAGAATATTTGGTAGTTGTTGGATGATTTGGTGCATAATGATTAAGTGATCAGAATGATTAAGAGACTCTCATGATATAATGCAAAATGAAATATAATTGTTTACTAGTTGTGTACCCGCGCAATATGGTGGGAGCCATGAATTTTAACGATTTTGAAGTTTCACTGGTTTTATAAGAYAAGATTTAACGAYGATATATGTTACACTTGGTCTTTACATATTAATACAATTTGAATAAATAAGAGTTATGGTTCCAATTACAGACTATCGATGAAAAAAATTGTATCACAGTTTAAAATCCAATATATTTAAAATCCAACATATTTAAACGATTCCACAAATGTGTTTGATTTACACTAAGAGAAAAGAACTAAGAAACTTGAGTTTTAAGATATACACTCAAAATCAATAAAGAAAACTACAAATTTGACAGATCATAAGCCATTAAAAGACCAAAAAGATGGGTTTGAAAATAAAATTTCAACTGCTTACCCTCTTTCTTGTCCAGAAACTCAGATTAAAGTTGAATTAATATATATATATATATATATATATATATTTCAAAAAACCCAAGAACATATTAATTCAGAACATATTATACAGTGCAATTTGGACAGCCTGACCCCAAAATATATAATATATATAAATAAATAACTATAAAAGTATAAATAATAAATATTAAAAATATTTTTTCACAGTATATATAATATATAATAATATTATTAAGTCAAAAACTATTCAATATTGGACTCATTTCGAAGGTATTAACGAGACGATTATAATGGTGTAACTTGTTAAAATAAAAATGWATTTTTTAAACATGTTTTAATTGATATACAATTATGTTTAATTTGATAAAGATTTAAAATGAAATATTTAATAGTAAAGGACGTAAAATAAATTAATTAACTAATTATAGAGATATAAAATGTAAATTTAAAATTATAATTTTAAAAAATTAGTAGTGAGAGGGTGAGTGTATGTGAGAGAGGAAAGAGTGAAAAAGTGACCTAAGGATAGTATAAAAGATATCTTGGTTATTTAGTATTTTAAGACTTTAAGACTTTTGGTGAATTTGCTTAATAAGATAGTATATATATATAGATAATGAAATTAGAACGCTGAATGATTAATGAAAGTTCATGATACAAAATCATTCAGAGTATTTTAGAACCATTTAAAAAAAAATATTTTGTCAAACAACATTCAATTTTTAATAATTTAAATTTGTCTCTTGATGATGAAATTATGAAGAGTTAAAAGAAACAAAATCATGTTGCATGTCTCAAATCTATTTCTTTTATTTTATTTCATAAATTAATTTTTTATCCCATTAATGATGTTGAAACTCATAACCTACTTTAATACCTGTGTTTTGTTTTCATGAAAGTCAAATATTCCTCTCTGATACCAATTCAGCCTATCTTTCATATTTCGTGATCACAACTTGGATTAGTTTGAACTCCGATCACCTCCCCGGAACCCTAATTACAAAACCCCTGCTGCTACTCTGTCTGTTTGGAGTAGGAAGATGGCGGTTCCGCTGGTCAAATTCCCACTATTCTTATGCGTCCGGGTTCTAGGTATATTTGTGGCTGTTTTGGTTCTTATATGGAATATTCGATACAGAGGAGGATTGGCTCTCATCTCGGAGGACAAAAGTCTCATCTTCAATGTAATTCTTTAAATCCTCTCCTATTTGATCATCATCATTTTATGCTTGCAGATGATTAGAGTTCTCTTTATAAATGTAGTAATGTTCGAGCTTTATGATTCAGATTCACGTTTGATAGATCTGTAATTGATGCTTTAGATGGTTATGGTTATGTTTATGTTCTTCCCGTATATCATAATGATGAAGATCAGCTCCATTCTTTTAACTAATTGACTTGACTTGACGCATATTTTGTTGTAACATAGTATTTGTCCGGATATTTGGGGCTTATGGGTCTTCGTTGGGTGTTATTTTTATCTTTCATCTTTCTAAATGGTTTGGATGGGGATTTGGGGTGTTATTCTGCACAATTGCAATGGCCTATTGTACAAGTTTTGTTTGGATTTACTCGAGTCTTGACTGAAGGCTAATGACTTCCATTTCAATGATAAACAAATTAATATGATTTGAAGAATTTGCGATTGCCATATTGGATATTTATTAATTGATGACTATCTTGTGTATCTGAAAGTTAGATGAAACGGTGTTCAGACTCGTCCAAAAACTGATGCCTCATCGTCTGACCACTAAGCTCTTGTGCTTAGTTGTGTTTTATACTTTATGTTTCTAGAATACATTTGAGTGCATCATGTTTTTTAGACTTCATATGCATTTGTCTTAACAAAGCTGCTTTTAATGCAGGTTCATCCTGTTCTGATGGTAATTGGCCTTGTTCTGCTGAATGGGGAAGGTAACTATATTTTAACCATGACTTGATATGATGAAAGTGGTTACCCATGTACATGCTTCTTTGAAGAACATTTTGACAATTGGTATCTTCGTGTGAATTTATTACACTTAAAGTTGTTGGTTCTTCATGCTTATAGTCTCATGAGTGCAATATTAACTTCGTGTGAATTTATTACGATTATTTTTTGATAAAGCATTTTATTGAGGGTGATTAGTTTTTGATAAAGAACTTTATTGAGCGTGATGTGATGAAGGTTACTTGGTGTTGAGGATGGAAGTGGGAAGTCTCCGTATGTGGTGTTTCCCTCACATTTGCAAAGAGATTGTTTTCTTAACCTGAATCCCTGACCTTATAGTCACAACGGAGTCACCTTAGTTGCTCTAAGGATCACCGTTGCACTTTAATTTAGTTGTCCACAAGAAAAGATTACCATTATATTTGCTTACTGTTAGGTCCCTATGCAAAAACTGAACAATAATGGTGTTCTCTAATATTTTATTAGGCGATTGAGGATGCATAGATGCACATAGGATATGTTTTTGGCTTTTCTAGCTTTATGTGGAACTGGAATATGCTTTTGCATTTTATTCCTACATGACAACGCCATAGGTTCATGTTAATATGCAAATGGCTGCAAGTTTAGGCAGTTTGCTTTTATTGAATTGACACACTCTACCTCATTTTGATTCCCCATTTGTTACTGAATTGTCTTCACTCATTGAAATTTAATATGAAGCTTGTGATTTTCATCAATTACCAATGCATTATGACCAAGTGAAGGGGCCGTCAACATTTATAACAAAGATGATCAATGTTCTTGTTCTACATCCAAGAAAGTTGGGGAAGTATTCTGCCATTATAAAGTGGGTTGACTAAGCTTGTTGGATTATGTATCACTGGTTTCTAATCGACTTGAAAAAAGTCGCTTGCTATGAGGTCAACTCAGATGTTATGTGGCAAGATTTAAGCTGGATTTCCAATTTTCCCCATTTCTTCTTTTAGGGTCGGCAGGATCTGGGATTAGGATATAGATAAGTGATCTATGCTTCATTGGTCCAATACAGTATCACATTGTATGTTGCCACGATTTATCTAGTTTAATAACCCCGCAATTTCTTGTTGGTTACATATAGCAAAAGATCTATAACTTTAACTTTTAAAAGTTAGAAAACATAATCAAGGACCTGCGTCGTGCACTGGCAATATGTGAATATGCACCCACCTTGTGGTTGGCAAAAGATGTACAAAATCTTACTTAAATGTGGAGTGCCCTCCAGATAATATCAATAATATCTGTTGCTGTGCTTCTTGAATTCTGTTTTTTCTTTTAGGATTTGAGGTTACTGCTTTTCTGAAAAGTCCATGCTTTAATTTCTAGTTCTTGGTGGGTGCAGCCATGCTGGCATACAAGACGGTATCAGGAACAAAAAGTTACAAAAAACTAGTCCATCTCACGCTCCAGTTCCTGGCATTTTTCTTGGGAATAGTTGGTTTATGGGCAGCTTGGAAGTTCCACAATGACAAAGGCATCGAGAATTTTTACAGCCTGCACTCATGGTTGGGCCTGGCTTGCTTATTCTTATTCACCATTCAGGTTCTTTTTTTTCTTTTTCTTCTGGTTATCTTTTTTTGGCTACAAAATCCTCAATTGAGCCATATATCTTTGAATGTTTAGTGGGGAGCTGGGTTTGCGACATTCTGGTATCCAGGTGGTTCAAGAAACAGCAGGGCTTCACTGCTGCCATGGCATGTCTTCTTTGGAGTCTACATTTATGTGCTTGCCATTGCTGCTTGTGCTACTGGTATTTTAGAAAAAGCTACATTTCTTCAAACCAACAACATAATTTCGCGCTACTCTGCAGAAGCAATGTTGGTTAATATTTTGGGTATCTTGATTGTTCTATTGGGTGGTTTTGTTATTCTTGGCATTATATCACCGCCAAGCGGAAAAGGCGATGTTCTCCGAGGATCGATAGAGTAAGCAGGAGTTGTATTTGATCCATTTTTCAAAGTTACGAGTGAGAGGCAAAGTTAGTGATGTAACAGTAACAGTAACAGTAACAGTGGTGAGTCTTTCTCTTGTTTGTTTGACTGTCAGGCTCATCAAAGAGGCATTGATATTTAATACACATTTGTTGTGTTGTGTCTCCAAGAAAAATCAAATTGTTGGTCATCTTGAGGTATTTTCTTGCATTTTCAGTATGCGATTGAAGAAATTAGTTTGGTCCATATGACTTTATTAATCGGTTTTGTTTAAACCTGTGTAAAAACTTGGCTCAAGTCATTGTCTATCCGATAAAAAAGGTGGTTTTGAAGCAAAGGTTCATCGGTCCAGCGGTATCTGGATAAACCGTGACGGTATAGGGGACCAGTGTGTAAATGTTTGGCGTATATGGCATCTACTGCTTCAAAAAGATGTGGTTTTGATCCATCCTGAAAAGTGACAACGTAATTGTTAATGATAGTTAAAACGTCAACTTAAAAAACCTATTTTTAACGACTAAGCATCTGATACTTGAGCTCTGAATTATGATTGGATAGCAGGGTTAGGTTTGGGTTTAAGAATTGGCCAACTGACCCGCTCGAAAACCCGACACTTTTATAACTTTTTACTTTTTAATATCTAAAATTCCCCCATATTATCCTTACTAAATGTGAAACTTTAATTTCCTTCCAATATGCCAAGTGTTGTTTCAAGTAGGGATGTTCAGTTTAGTGGTGTAAACGGACACAAACAAAGGTGGATGTGGCCCATTGCTTCAAGTAGCGTTGTTCTGTTTAGAGGTGTAAACGGACACAAACAAACGATAGGATGGATGGGGTCCATGGAGATCGTCGGAGTAGGGGACGAATGAGAGGTCTTGAGGGGTGGGGTGGTAGAGAAAAGAAGAGTTAAAATACATATAAATATAAATATCTATTTAAATGGAGCTAACAGAGGTAGGTTACCGCCGTTAGGGGTAAGGAACCAACTCACTACAAATATAGAAATGACGAATCCAATCCCGTTATAAATAAAGTTTAGGACCAGTTTTGTTAGAACCACCAAACCATACAAAGTGAATAATCACGGGCATTATAATCAACCCGATAAAACTTGTAATAGTTCGGTTACAACCGGGTTCGGTTCACCGTTTACCGTAACCGGTTGAAAAGAGGCACAAATTCTAAAACCCTTGAACCTCACCTTGTGAGATCGATTTCATGGTAAAACCCTAACCCAAAATTGGAACTCTTTTGTTTTGACCTCACCCGCCTCTCCCTCCGATCCGCTCGCCGACCACACCAGAAACTTCTCATTGGCGCCGGCGATTCTGATAAGCTACTCTCCCTGATTCTGAGCCAGTTTTATACTCCACTCCTGTCTCTTCCTCTTTTAATTCCAGGTATTCCTCTTAACCCCATGTTCTAAACTCTAAAGTAACTCGAACTTTTCCCCCTTTTAATTTGTGAATTCTGTACTAGCTACTGGTGTATTTCTGTTTGTTGTCGTCTTTGTTACTAGGTGTGCTATTTAGGTTCATATCATTAAAATTGTGACTCTCGATTTGCAAAACTTTGTAAAATTTCAGTCGGTCGTGAAATTTTTCTTTGTGTTTAATCCTATAACGAACTGGAATTTTTCAGTCTCCATCATTCTTTGAATTTGAGCCAGTTTTTATTTTCAGTCACCTCTATATTTCTTTTGGTTCATGTTAAGTCAAAGTTTGCTCTTTTACAGTAATTAATCTCTGAGATAGAGATTGGACGTACAAGTATTAGCTCCATGCCAAATTATACCAGTCTGTTCCATTGTAAATTGCGAGGGTAAATGATAGTATAATTTTAAAACGATTCATGTTAGACAAGAAAAGTTGCCCCTTTTATATTCGTCCACGGTCTTTAATCATCTTCGAATTTTTCCAATTAATGTAAGAAGTAAAAATAAAGGGCAAGCATGAGGCACAGATGCTCCTTGGTCTTGAGAGGGCTGGAGAGGAGTCAGTGCACAATATTCATGCCATTTCAATGACTGAACCCATGACCTTCATGTTACAAAGGAGTTTTCTCCAAGATTCACCCTTGAATTTAGTCCGTAAGAACTCTTTTTACTTTAAAAACTTGAAAAGTAAATGTCAAGTTACAGTGTTTGATGTTGGCATAAGCCATAGTCCTTCAGTTTTGCATAGTAAATGTCGAGTTACAGTGTTTGATGTTGGCATAAGCCATAGTC